GGGGCCACAGGCAGTTGCCAGCCGGCCCTGCCCGGGATCGGGATGTTGGGGGCCAGCAGGGGACGAGCCGATTGGGGCCTGGATCAGGCCCATTGGCTGCCGCAGTGCGCATCATAGCCACTGGTTGTTTTCGACGTTATTCAATAAAATATATTTTTTAAAAAAACCTGAAACCAGAATTAGCTAAAATACTTAAATTTAGGAACTAACATTTTAGAATGTAAGTTGAATAAAATAATTTTCCATGTAAGATGAATAGGTTTGAAAGTTTAAGTTTAGTCTCTTCTCCCTTCCCCACACCCTTTCTTTCTCTCTTCATAAACAATATTATATACTAGTATATACTAGAGGCCCGGTGCACGAATTCGTGCATGGGTGGGGGCCAGCCGGCGCACCTGACGGGGGCCCATTGGGCCGGGCTGATAGCGGGGAGGGGCCACAGGCAGTTGCCAGCCGGCCCTGCCCGGGATCGGGATGTTGGGGGCCAGCAGGGGGCGAGCCGATTGGGGCCTGGATCAGGCCCATTTGCTGCCGCAGTGCGCATCATAGCCACTGGTTGTTTTCGACGTTATGGTTGTTCCACCATTCCGGTCGCTGGGCTTTTATATATATAGATTTCTATATTTATTCTGCATTTAACTGACATATATTTAAAAAGTCAAATGAAAGTCTCCACTTAAATGTAAAGACAAGTTGACTACCATACATTTAATTATAATACCTGACCTTACTAGGACTATATTAAGGATAACAACAGTATGGAAGTCTAAAAATATTTCAGAGAACTGTTCTGTTTAGGATACTATCTTGCTTATTTTCTGTGAATAGACAATAATGCCAAATGAGATCATTTACATGTATAAACTCACATCCCAATAACCACACATCTAGACCCCCATATCCAATGCCACACATACACTGTGATGACTGATTCATGGATCACCCACAATGTTAATCAACAACAATAGAAACTTCCAGGGTTCTTTGTTAATGGGCTAGCATTTGTTTTTTTGTTTGCTGATCCAAAGTATAAGGGAGAATGAAGGCATTTATAAATTTAATTATATTATTAACTGTTTCAAATATCATAGGGACTTCATATTATGGGGTGAAATAACATTTTCTAAACCTTAATACAAATAAACACCACTTTACCAGTATGGAATCTTAACACTGCTAACCCAAATGTATGTAGACATAATATGGTAATTAATGGCCACACTGCCACCCCATACACAGTAAATATTAAATTATTACTGTGGCTTTATGTATTAGATTAGTTGTGATACATTAATATAAATTTTGGATTATTTCACTTAATTAGCTTCCAATGCAAAAGATATAAATCATAGAAAATATAACATGCTTAGTATAAGCTTTATAAAAATCATCGGTTAGTGAAGTGCCAAGTTTTGAGTACTTTTTAATTTCTTGTGACCATTCCTTCATGCTCAAAAATGTTCCCAACATTCAGAATTCTTTAAAGAATATATTATCTTCCCATTAAAATATGCTTCTTATGATGATAACTTGAAGTTAGATTTTTAAGTGAAAATTTAAGAAATATACTTACCTTTGATTCGAGGTAGACATTTGCTGATGACATTTTTGTAATTTTGCATATATAACTAACTAAAGAGATGGCACAGAGAATAAACAAGCTATCATTAATTAACGCTCGAACAAACACTGTCCATTTCAACTGATTTTCTGGGACATCTCCATGGACTATCATTGCACAAGTCAAGTTCACCACTAAAAAGATAAGGCTTGCCAATATAAAGCCCAAATGCAATAGAATTCTGAAAGAAAAAGAAATGACTTTATTAGATATTTATAAAACAAATGAGAAATTAAATTTATTAGTGTGTTACTTTGGGTACAATAATTCCTTCAGTTCAAATTGTAATTTCATTAAATACAAATTAATAATCACTCAGTTACTTGAGCTATCGATGTTATAAAATTAGTATCTAAAGCATATTAAAATGGCATTAGATTTTAAAGTATGAATTTAAAAATAATTTCACATGGACTTGAATTCAATTGCCTTTACCAGGAAGAATGTAGGATTATTTTAGCACTAATTCAAGCAATCCTGAATTTTTCATTTTTGTAACTACTAAGCATATTTTCATTGATCTTTCCATTCCAAGAATTACCAGGTTTTTATAATTTGCCTGGAAAATTAATAAACTACCTAAATTTAAAGTGATTATTAATATTAATTTTAAGAGGTAAGGGAAATATGTTTTAGACAATATTTAATTTTATGAACTTCTGAATATCCACAGCAAACATTACTTTCAAACATGACTACAGCACATAAGAACAGTAGAGTTTCAAGCACTTATCAACACCTCCTCTTCTTATAAAGTTGCATATATACTATGCATACAGAGCAACTCTGAAAATGAAATGCTTAAAAACTTGCTCCTAAGAAAAGTTAGATCACCTCATAAAAACTCTTCAGGTAAGGTGTGGCTATCTACATCAAGTAGCTGTAACAGCTATCTGTATGAAAGCAATCCCAGTTCAGATACATTTTATACCCCAAAGTAATATGATCCAGAAATTTATTTAGCATACTAATATCTTTTATTTTGGATCTCTTTCAATAGTGGAAGTCATAAATCGTTGTCAGCCTTTGGCTATAGTTTATGTATGGTAAATTGAAGGTAATGTGTAAAGTAATCTGTAACAAGCAATGTTTGTCAAGTGTGCATGCAAAGTACAAAGATTTTAGTTTGAGAAGTTTAGATATTAATATTCTCTCAGATTAAATATTAACTACAATAATCAGATAGTTTTAAACCTAAAATAGATCTTGAAATTATTAATATACTCTGGGGAATATAGCACTTTAGGAAACCAAAGCATTGAGATGTTAAATGAGTTGCATAGTTATCAAGTGTCCTGGCTTGAATTTTTGAGGGAAATCAGTATTGAAACATTAGTTATTTCATGCAACTATACAATACGTTCTTTCCCCAAACAGCATAATCTAACTTTAGTGTTTGTGGACTCTATGAAACTACCTCTGACATCTGAAGCAGGAATAGTATCAGAGCAGCAAAAAAAGGTATTAGGCAGCAATATGGCTGAAGAGAAAGTACTGGGGGTTATTCAATTCACTTCCTATGAACTAATCTAATTTGATTTTCTATAAAACTGCTAAGGTACCCTTAACCACCATGCCCTTCAACCTTGAGAAGTCCACTGTGAATAAAATTTAAACCTTGCTACTCATGAAACTTACTTGTGTTTGTCAAGTTCAGTGGCACATCTGACTTTACATATAACCTATAAAGAGAGTATAGAAAAAAGTTTTGAAAATGTGTAATAGAAAATTCTTAAATTTGTTTTCATTTTGTATTTCAAAACGATACAACTGCAAGTATCAACAGGTAACAAGTAAAATTCAAATGTTAATAGAACTACCATGAAATAAAAATAGGCAGGTTTTCCAAGGCTTAAGACAATAAATTAAGAATTTTTTCTTGTAGGCTTAAATTTGTGTTTAAAAACATAAACAGAATTAATTCAGTTTAAACATGTATTAAACTTTTATTATGAGGCGAACATTGTGCTCAATGACTTGTCACTGATACTGAACTTCGTTATATTACTCATGCTTTGCCCTAAAATGGGACTACTTACTATAACACTATGGCTGAGTGTTCTACAAAGATTATTTCCCCTAAGATGCAGTGAAGTAGTAAAAGGAAACGAGGGACGAAAAAATTAACACAAGGATAGTGAACAGATACCATATCTAGTATACTTCCTTCCTTCACAGAGTCTTGCAAACAGCAGATCCTCAAATACTTGTTAAACAAAGTAAAGCAGGTAGGTAAGAAGAATCCTATCTAATAATAGACAAATATGGTAATTGACCATCCCTTTGCTACGCCTCCAATCGGCTAATCAGTGAGATATGCAAATTAACCCAACCAAGATGGCGGCCGGCAGCCACGCAGCTGAAGCGAGCAGGAGGCTTGCTTGCTCCAGTGATGGAGGAAGCCAAGGTTCCCCGACTGCTGTGGCATGGCTCTG